AAAGAGTGTGGACTCAGGCAGTAGCTCCTTCCTGGGCACTCCCATGCACGCCCAGGTCGGGGGTGCTACAGGGAATGACCCCAGGGAGAACCGTTCTTGGCAGTGGACTTTGTCAGGGCCCAGGGAGGAAGGGACTCGTGGGCCCCGCCCTGCCTGGAGGAGGCGCTCATTAGATGAACCTCACCATGATCAGAAAGCTGCAGGGTCACAGCCCACCTTTGGGAGGTTGGATCAGCACACAGGCAAAGAAAGGCACAGGCCCCCAGCTCCCCAAGAACCCCAGGGAAGGGAGGAGGGACTGCTCCCAGAGCTCTGGCAGCCCTTGCAGAAACCCAAGTGAAACCTAGATAGCGGGAGACTAGCCTCACAGACACTAGGGTGTCAGGGCTGTGGGGCCTCAGAGGCTGACCCAGCGACCCCTACCTCTGGCTACCTGATGGGGTCCCCAGGCCCACAGACCGCCATGCTCATTCACCTGTCACCCATAGCCTGCCACCACCGGAGTCTCAGGTTCATGTCCCTGCTTCCTCTGGCCCCACACTAGATAAAGGACCCCTCGGGTCCCCACCCCAGGGTCTCCTCCCCGGAGGTCCCTCTGGCACATGTGCCCTGCAGTCTGCCGGTGTAACGGTCATTCAGAACCGTCGTTCCTGCGCTTCTGGGGCTCGGCCCTGTGCCAAGCACTTCTGGAGCTTTGTGCTTGAATTCTCCCAGCAGTGCTACAGGGCCGGTGGCTACAGGTACCACCCCATGTTATGGATGGGAAAAGTGAGTGTGGAGAGACCAAGCAGCCTGCCCCAGGTCTCCTAGCTAATCAGCACAATATCTAGACTCAGAACCCAGATCACTGGGCCCCCAGACCAGGCCATGCTGGGAGGGGACCTCTAGAAGCCCTTTGGTAGAAATTAGGAAACTGAGGCAGAACAAATGAGAACGGACAGGGCGTTCCTTCCCCCAGGATCCAGCCACTGGACGGGGTCCGCCCCTTCAGACAGTCCATCAGCAGGACCCAACGTGGCATGTGGGGCAGGGCCTTGGGCAGCTAACCCCCCACCCGTGACACTTTGCCCTCCCCTACTCCACGCCAGCTCTCCGGAGCACTGTGCAGGACCCATGGGCACCCGTCCTGGCACAGAGCCTGGCAGACTAGTACCTGATTATTATTTTTAGAGGCCTAACAGGCCCATGGCCTGTAGGGGAATTGGTTGGCACCCCCAGGCCGGGGAAAACAGGCCTACCCTCTTTTCACCACTGAATAATGTAGCAGTCCCCACTCTACCCACCCCCCGCCAGACGTGGGACTGATATGCAGGTGGGGCCCCGTGCTGCCCAGAAGCCTCGGTGGCTCCGTCCGAGGAGGTAGAAAGGGTCTTGGATCCCTGACTAGCAGCGTGGGGACTGACAATGGTGAGGAGGTGGAGGCTGACGGGCCAAAGCACAGACGTACAGCTCTTCACCCTGACTGGGCACCTCCCTGCCCCAGCTGATGGTCTGCAGCCAGGCCCCAGTCCACAGGTGCCCCTTCCCTGAGAGCTCTGTCTGCCCTGCTCCCAGCCCAGCCTGGTGGTGGGGAGTGAGGGTGGGCAGCCTTCTGCTCCCTGGGTTCCAGTCTCCAGTGTGAAGGAGCTGGGCGTCCTTGAGAGAGCCCCCTGCCTTCTCTGTGCCTTGGTCTCCATTGCCTTCAAAGGGCGAATAATGGTCCCGTTGCAGGGCTGTCGTGATGGTTAAATGAGCCAGGGCAGACATGGGGTAGGACATGACATCCTTACCAACCTACTCAGGGGGATGTACACTGGGGCGGTGTGCTTGGGAGCCCCCAGACTAGCCCCATGACTGATGTAGGGCAGTGGCTGCCCCTCCCTTGTGAAATCACTGCCCAGGGCCCCCCAGTCCTGGGTAGAAGGAGACCTTGGCTTCTCTGCTTGTCTGGGTCCTGCCCAGCTCCTGTCCACACTGGGCACTCCCTGGAGGCCTCACTCCAACCCACGGGGGGCAATGCCAGGTCCAGAGAACCGGGGGAAGAGACGGCACCCTGTGGCTCTGAGTTGGCCCCCAGGTTGCTAGGAGAGCAGCTGCTGGAATGTTCCATCCAGCTTCCACCTCTGCAGAGCTCCCTTCCATCACCCTGCCCACAGAGCCACCATTTGGGTTACGTACTTTACATTTTTGTGGGTTCCGCAGAGACTCTAATGAAAGGCAGGAGGGGCAGGCACACTGTGCCTTTGACAGCAGCACAGATCTGACGGTGAGAGCAGGACAGAGAAAGGACAGGGTGTGGGGAGGAGAGAGAAATATTTGCAGATGACTTAGAGAAGTGACCAGAGCCGGCCTTCAGTGGGCATGCTGCGTCCACGATGGGAGGTGCTTTATGCAGCCTGTCCTTGAATTCTCGTGACACCAGGCACCACTATCATCCCGTTTTTCCAGATGAGGAAACTGAGGCAGGGGGGTGAGCCCCTTGCCTAAGGTTGCACAGCCTGTGAGGGGCAGAGCAGATCACCCAGATAGTGGCTCTAAGGCAGACTGGGCTGCTGGCGGACGCCCCTGCCTGCCCCACACCCACCCTCTAGTGCCCGTGCTGCCCGCCCTGTGCTGAGGCTACTGCCAGTTCTCCCAATCGGGCAGAGGGAGGTCAGGTCTGTCCACCAGTCCCACTAGCCGGGGAGCCCCAGGGCTCTGGGTCAGGCCATCCTGCGGGAGGGGGCAGGCTCAGCTCTAAGGCACAGCCACGGACCGACAGCTCACTGCCATGGGGGCACAGACATCTGGCCCTGAGCTCACAGTGGACAGCAGAGTTTCAGCCTGATAGTCACTCTGTCAGTTAGGGCCATCATTACGCCCCCAACATTGAGGAGTTTGAGGCGCTAAGACCCTACTGATAAGTTAGACAGGCAAAGAGGGATCTGCCTCCCAGTCGGGTGGGAGAGGGTGGGCGGGGGTGGATTGGGAAGATGGACAAAGTGTAACCTGGTATTTGTCACACACACAGTAGGACCCAGGATGCAAAGAGCAGAGCCAAGGGACCACTGTGAGAATGGATGAGGGTACAATCTGGGAAGGCTGCCTGGAAGAGGCACCACCCAAACTGGGACCTGAAAGGAAGGGACTTAGGGAAGGAGGAAAGGATCCCCATGGGTCCTTGGCACCAGGCCTAGGAGTGAGTGCGTCAGAGTATTCCTCTGATGAGCCTCAAGTAAACAGGCAGGTGCCCAGGGGAACATTGGGGCCCCTACCCTGCCTGCCAGCCCTCACTGGCAACAGCATGGAGGCCCCTTACCCTCACTCCTCTGTCCCCACCATCATCTCCTCCAAACTCTGCAGCCCAGGCTACGGAAGGGAGCAGGACCTTTGGGAAGCCGAGTGATAACGTCATCCTCTTGCAGGGGGAAGTCAAAGCACAGGGAGGGGAGGCCACTGCCTGAGGTCACGCAGATCCGCAGGCCTCTGACCTGGCACCCTGGCAGTGTCCATGCCAGGTGCAAGGGAGGACAGAGAATTCTGTTTCTGGAGTGTTCCAAGTGGTGGCCACAGTGGCAGTTAACGAAACGTCCATCTTTAAAGCTCTAGTTTACTCCACGCAGGCCAGGTGGGGTAGGGCTGTAGCCTGGAGCTAATTTCTACCAGGCAGGAAGAACCCTGGCCTCTGACTTCTGCCCACTCACACTGGAGCAATAAGCAGCCGTCCCCAGTCCACGCTGTCCCAGAACCACCTCGAGTTCACTGGCTGACGGGGGTCCTGAGAGACACTGGGTACACCTGGCTGTCTCCCATGAAGGGCGGACGGGGGTGCGGGCAGCCCTTGCCCCGTGGTTATCCGAGTGGGTCCCTGTGTGTCTGTGAGGTGAGGTGTCTGTGAGCCGATGGGAATGCAGCAGATCACGGGATCATTGAGGGTGCCCCTGAAGGAGGTGCAGTCCCAGCCCCCACTTCATGCCACCTCACTGGGCAGGATGGACCCTGTGGAGGACACGCTGCGGCGGCTGCGGGAGGCCTTCAATTCCGGGCGGACACGGCCCGCCGAGTTCCGGGCTGCGCAGCTCAAGAGCCTGGGCCGCTTCCTGCAGGACAACAAGCAGCTTCTGCAGGACGCGCTGGCGCAGGACCTGCGCAAGGTGAGCGGGGTTTGCGAGGGGAGACGGGTGGGAGCAGTGGGCGGAGGTCACAGGGTGGGGCAGCTGGGACAAACGGGAGGGGGCAGCTGCATCCGCC